TTGTTAGCGAAAGCTTTACAATTCGAAACGTTCTTCAACATTTCCAAGAATTATTATGCTATTCTGACTATGCTTTACACACATTATGGCAATTATTGGATATGTTTATGTAGCAGAAATGATCCAAATGTATCTCATTAACAGAAATTTGAAAGATTAATGTGAGATATTAATTATTGACTAAGCTTTGCGTACCATATATTTCCCTATTCAATCAAAATAATATAAATATTCTAATTATGGCTCGAAATTAACAATTAATTGGAAGAATTAAAAAAGTGTATTATTGAGATGAATAATCAAATTAAGATGGAGCAGTTTTAGGAAAAATAATCAATAAAACTTCATTTATCGCACCATTGATGATTTCTTCAATTCTCAATCTTTCGTTAATGTGAAATTGATTTTCACTGTAATAAATGTTCCAAAAAATAGGAAGAATGAAGTGACAATCTTAATTTTATTTTATTTTTTGCAAATTTTAACTTGCTTTTATTGCAATTGCTCATACATTTCTAATATAACTAATTTAATTCATTCCAAACTGGAAATTAATATCTTTCGCTTCATGAACGAACCTTTTTGCTTTATATTTGCTTCATAAATAAAGCATGCTTAAATTAATTTTCATAAACAAAAATATCGTTAAATTAATTTTCGTGAACGAAAATATCGTCTTAATAAGTAGCTTAGCTAATTTTAATTTATGCACAGAATATAATAAAGAGCAGCACTTTACAGTCTATGAGAGCAAATTACAGTGGGCATTTTTGATTAGATGTGATGGATTAATTGCTAAAAATTAGCAGAAAATGGATGCTACATATTTCACAGAAAAATAAATAGTTTTTTAATTAAAATTAACGATTAAGGTTTACAAATATTTAAAAAAAATTTTCCAATTATTACCATCTCGAAGTTATCCATTTTGCTCTGTCCATTTTTGTCGGCTAGAATTTTTTATTCGCCAATAATTCATTCATTTTTAATTTTCAAATGTAGTTTGTAACCAATTGAGGATGCATTATCTGTCGTCTGCGTCATAAAAAATTTGCTTTATTCAGAAAAAAGCGTAAGGTCTGGGAAGCTAACGGAATAATTTGCGCTTGTGGATTTATTAAATTTAAAGCACTATATTTATTTATTGTTAACACACTTAAGAATGTTTCACTTTTTTTAAAAGGTAGAATTCGATAATCATTGTAATAATTATGGAGATTTGTGTATCTGCAAAATTTGTAGATTTATTTAGCTTACTTGATTAATTATAAATTGATTTTAGTAAAATGACATTCAACATGTCCTTTATTGCTTCTAAATGTAAATATATTGACATTATTTTGTTTGATTAAAGAAATTATTCATCAAAAATTTTTTTCGAAGTTGAATAAATTTTGCATCATCAAATTATCAAAATAATTACAAGCATAAGGGCCTGTTGTTTTTACAAAACGATTCATAATTTATTTTGCTTTCAACTTAATTGAAATCACAGCTTTCAATTGATTGCGATAGATTTTTGAGAAGAGAAAAAAAGGCGAAGATTCATGAACTTTTTAAAATTTTCCATATGTTATAAATCTTCATTTTGAAAATAAAATTACATAGATCAGAACTAGCAAAGAAAAGCTAAGCAATTGTAATACAAATAATTTTCAGCTACTTTCAAACAATTAACTGGTACTATCAATTTTTCTACGCATTTGTAAAAGAAGAATACTCTATCCTCAAGTTGTTTTTTTAGTTGTTTTTTTAAAGTTGTTTTTTTAGTTAGTCTAGTCCACGCTATAGGTTTAGTTTAGCTTCTCTAATGATTTATCAGCATAAAAGGAAGCTTTAGATAACTAATAAAATATTAATGATATTAGTAAAACTGTAAATTTTATCAATTTTTTTTTCATGCTATAGGTTTAGTCTAGCTTTGCTAATTAGTTATCTAAAGCTTCCTTTTATGCTGATAAATCATTAGAGAAGCTAAACTAAACCTACAGCGTGGACTAGACTAACTAAAAAAACAACTTTAATTGCAATCAAAATTGAAATAAAATATAGAAAAATTTGAGCATAGTTTAGGTAGAAGTAATTTAATAATAAAATTCTTTAGTTTTTTTGGTGTAAAAAACAGTTGCTGGCTTCTTCCTAAACTTGTGAAATAAGATTATAATATCACATAGGCTATCTTTTTCACTCAAAGCTAGTTGTTACTCTAATAACTTGCTTAACTCATGCAGAGTTAATATATTCATGCTATTCCCTGGAAAATTTATAACTGATAAGCTAATCTTAGTGCCACTTAAATTTTATATGAGTATTAATTGACTTTTTATACACGCACTAACTGAATGTCTCTTCCATTTTGCTGAGCAAAGCTTTTTATTGCAAATACTTCTATTAGTTTTAATCGCTGCAATATTTTAACAATGAAAGTTTCAATCTGCTGGAGTTATTCGGATTCCCTACAAATAGTACTTATTAATTGATTATTGATTAATTAGAGCACTTTTTATTTATGCAAATATTGCCGAATTAAAGAAAGAAATAAACTGATGTAGTAATCATTATATATAATTTGAAGAATTTTTTATAGTATTCTCGAAGATTTTATCGTTTTAGTTTTGAACAGCATAGATGGTGTTATTAAAATTTCATTTTAAGATAAATAATAATCTTTAACATATTTGTTAGGCCTGATAACCTTTATTATAGAACAAATTAAAACTCACTGAAATGAAAGTATGTAAATGATGTTGAATTACAGTAATTAAATTTCAATGATTTTCATCATCAATTTCACCAATCGTATGGCAATGATTATGTTGAATATATAGAAAGCAAAAAAAAAAAATGAAAATAGTAACTGAAAAACTAACTGATAGTTAAACTAGTTTTGACCAATTATGAATGCTCTGTTCAAGCATCGAGCAAAGATTATTTAAATGTGTCAGCAATGAAAGCAAACTACTACGTGCAATTCAAGGAAAAATATTCCATAAAATAAAAATTATACGTTATAGAAAGGGTTGTTATTCTGTGGAAGTTCCACTTCAAATAATTGTTGACTAGTGAGAAGTAAAGCTAACCAATTAAACTTAAAATTCCATTTTTCATTGTGAGCTTCTTGTTTGTTTGTTTTTTCCAATATTTCACAAATCATTCATTTCTAGCAAAATAAGCAATATTAATTGGTTTGCAACGAACATTGAATATATTCATATCTTTGAATATTTAATCATTCGATAAGATTTTGATCCTCAAAAGCAATCATGAATTTCTATTTAGTTAAAATCGTTTGCTACGCTTAATTGATCATTAATCTTTGACATAAAACAACTTTTGAATAAAAATTTTACATTCTAGGCAAAAAATAAGGAAATTTTTTCATGTTTGTTTAAAATTCTCATTGCTAAGAATATTTTTATAAGTATTTAAAATATCTTGTAAAATTGTTTCAATTGGGAAGTTTTTTTTCTTGAAGTTTCATTTATTTTCTTTAAATCTCTTTGGGTAATAAAATATATTAAAATTATAAATGAAACGAATCTCCGCAAATACTAAATGATAAATTTATCATTTTAAAAATTATTTGATATTGCTTTATAATCCTCTCATAGTTTATCGAAACAATATTTCACTTTTTCATAACTTTTAGCCTAAACTTGTTATTTCAAACAAGTTTAAAAAATGTGATATGTTTATTTATTTAACATCTGTGAATTCAATATATTTTTTCTGTTTGTAAAAAAAAACCAAATAACAACGATTGTTAAGTTCCATTCTTCATCGTTGCTAGCTATGAAATATAATATTTGAAATATTATGAAACCTATATTGAATAAAATCAATGCATATATTGCAGTTAAACTGAATCTTTCACAATAACTAGTAATTCGTTTGTGTTAATAATCATTTTTCATATCATCAAAAAAGTTTTTAAATAATAGCATCTTTGAAAAAAAAAAGCTTCATTGTATATTATAATGAAATGATATAGATTATCCGCTGATTTTCAGATTTTAAAACTTTATAGCTTGTCAACTGAAACTTTTGTGAATTAAATAAATTAGCAGCGGAGAGAGATTGCAGACAGAAAAGTTTTTTTCTTCTTATCGGTAATAAATTGCTATCGAAAAGTTCAGAATTTCGTTCCTTTTAATAAGAGAATAATAGCTCACAACTGTGTTTCTTCGTAGTATTCTCTTTCAAAGATATAAAATAAACATTCTCTCTTCCTTTGTTCATTCTTAACTTTCATTAAAATTTCACACCAAACCGACTAATTTTTTTCACTTCTTTTGCACTGATAATTATTGAAAAGTCAGCAGACACGTTTTTTTAAGGATAAAAAAAAATTTTTTGACGAAACGTTTTGCAGCTGTTTTCTCATTTCTTTCCTAACATTCTTTCGAATTGCTCTATCTATAAAATTTATTTATTTAATTATGAAAACTATTTGTCATTTGCTATAAATGGCCTGTTTTTAGTCACTTTAGCAATTCAGGAATTAGTTGAAAATTTCGACGAATTTTTGATGATTTAATTTTTTGCCATATGTATATTGAAAAAGAGTAGTTGAGCTTTGTCAGTGAATTAATATTTTTATTCATCTTCTAAATGAATTAGTAACTTAGTAATTTTCGGAACTGTTCAATTTTTTTAGCATTTGGATCAATTAATACAAATAAAAAAATTATTTTAATTATTTTTTTTAAAAGTTTGCTAGAGTTTTAATTTGCTAGCTCAAAAGTTCACTAAACTTTTAATCTGCTAGCTTTTTCTGTTTTTTTCTTTGAGGTAATCAAAAATGTGACAGAAAATCTTTTTAATGTAAAACCCAGAAAAGAAGGCAAAATTTTTATTGTTTAGAAGAACTTTTAAATTAGCTTTGCACTAACCAAATAAAATATAAAATATTTGGTTAGCGCAAAGCTAAAAAATTTAATTTTATGTTAAAAAAAAATTGATTTCGAGTCCAGTTAATTTCAGTACAAGAAGAAAAAGCAATGCAAGCAGCACCATCAGCGCCCATCGATGCATCCAAATTTGTTGCATATGTTACCGAACGACGAAAAAAGAGGATTTTGTTTAAAGGCGAATATATTGTGAGTTTCTTGAAAGGACATATTGCACAAGCAGCAAGCGCATTTGTCATCCTGTTGCTGATGTATATGCAAATTTAGTTGTAAGTTGATCAGAAAATCCATATATCTTACAAAACCTGATCTCTTATTATCTCCTCTGGAATAGGTAATATAAATTTTACATCTTATAGTCTTTTATCTTTTTTTTTTTTACCAGATAATAGCGTATGGAGGAAATATGCAGAATTTGCAGATGATATTACGTTCGGTTGATCCGGTCAAATGTCGATGTGATATCGGCCTGACAATGGAGAGTCGGAATCAATTTCCTGATACGCTGCCGTATGATTACAATCGTGTCATACTACGTAAGCTTCCTGGTGACAAAAATTCACATTATGCTAACGCTAGCTATGTTAATGTTAGTTTTTAATTTCATCAATTTCTATCTAATGACTATATTTTTTATTTTAGAATTTCAATATTTCTATCAGATATTGTGAATTTTAAAATGTAAAATGTAAACTTTAGCATTAAAGTGAAAAGTTCTTTTTTTCTTTAAAATATCTTCTATTAAATTTTCCAGCCTGTTCTCAATTTAATTTTTCGGCATTTTTCCAAGTCTCCCTTGATTTAAATTGATTACCACAAAAAAATGAATCCTTTAGTGAAGTCTTTAATGAAGCGATGAACTATGATTTTTCAATATTCTTCACTTAACAAATTCATTCATTTTTCAAAATTCTTCTTTTAGCAAATTCATTCATTTTTTTTCAAAATTATTAGAAAGACGAATATAGTAAAAATTGCTAACACTAATCGATTTTCCTGTTTAAATTAAGCAAGTAAACCTGGAATGCTTCGTTTCAACAATAGTTCTGCATGCTCCATCTCTCTCGCTACAAAAATAAAAAAAATTAGAATTAAATTTAAAAATAAAAGAAATAGAAATGACGTGGATGAATTGAAAACTGACATAAATAAGCAGAATAAATAAATAATCAAGGTATGAAATAAAAGCTTCCTGATAAAAATAACTAAATAATTGATCTACTTTTTGTCGTCATTCATTGCAGAGTTGGCTACGTGAGAAAGCCTATGTTGTAACGCAAGCTGTTAGAACTAAACCTGCGATAACGGAATTCTGGAGATTAATTTGGGAGCTTGGGTCAAATTGTATTGTTATGTTAACCAAAGTTTTCGATTTTATGCGGGTTAGTTCACAATTAGTAAATTAATTGAATCAATTCGGAAGCTAATCAAAACTTCTAGTTGTTATGATTAGATTAACCCGGATTTATTTTTTAATAGCTAAATGCAGCTTACTTTACATTTTCATGAAAATGTTTAATGCTTAAGTAATCTTACCAAATCTTTTTTTCCAATTATAGGTTATGTGCCTTCAATATTGGCCTGCCACTTCTAGTGAATATGGCCAAATCGAAGTGGAAACATTGGAGACCAAAAGTTACGCTCATTTTGTAAGTGCAAATGTTCGAAAATAAATAAACAAGCATATAGGCTAAGTTTGACAATTTTTTTGGGAATTGTGAGATTAAAATTGAATGACATTGTTTCACTTTCCTATTATGAAATTCATTCAGAAATAATTCAATCATCTTAAATGAACTTAAATTTTTGAAAAGATTAACGTCAGATTGATAAAAAGCTAGAAAGAAAATCTTTGATTGTTCTCTGTAAGATTGATTTATTGAAAATTTCACTATCAATAGACTCTGAAATATTCTCCAAAATGTGCCATCTTTCATAAATAAAATTTAGTAAAAGACGGGATTTATAGATCATCCGTACGCTACGATTATCGAGAGTGGATCCGGATGTAGGTCAGCAAACCCGTGTAATTAAGCATTTTCACTTTACTGAATGGGAGCTTGATAGTTTGCCGTACATTAGCGCCTTTATTGAATTACGTCGACGAGTGCGCCAATATACCGATAAATTTCGTGCTGACGCACCAATCGTTGTACATTGCAGGTTTGTATGTTTGATAGCTTTTTAATAGTAAAATATTTAAATTATTTGATCCAGAATTTGTGTAAAGATGTCGCTGCAAAATATCAACTGCTTCCAAAATTTTTAAGTTTAAAAATTTTAATCTTCCAAAAAAATGAAAACTTTTGTTCTAAAATTTTAAAGTAATGCTTTTTCTAGAAAATAATAATTTCTAAAAGACTATGTATATTATTATCGTACTAAAATTAAATTTGACTAATTAAATGAAAAAATTTTTTACAAAACGCATTGAGATTTCTGACAAATAAGTCTGGAGCATAAGGGCGGTATTGTTACCGTTGGATTTCCGATTGTATGATTTAATTTTGTTAAATTTTTCATCCAGAATGATACCTAAAAATAAAATAAACTTTCGAACAACTGTTTTTCATATTATATTTGCTAGTTCTCACTGATACATTCGAGATGATCCAATTCTCACATGACTTGAAATGCTTCTTTATTTTTATTCAAAAATAAAATATGATTTAAAAGTAAAAACAGAAACGAGAAATTTAGTGAGAGAAAATGCAAGTGAAAAGAGAGAAAGAAAAAGACAATTTTTTACCATTTAGAAAAAAATGGGCGTTCGCAATACTAACTTTAAAATGCAAATCCTTTTTGAAGAAAGCTAAAAATTTGAAGAAATTTGGTACAATAAAGTTGTTGAGAAATTTGAAATTACCTGTTGGCTTGTGTAATTCATAATAAAGTGAGCAGCTTGTTGACCATATTTATTAGCACAATGTCTAATGAGTACGTATGTTGTACATTTAATATCACATATCAGCAAACGACATCGATTTGCGCGTCCTAAAAATGAAATTATTTTAAAAGATTTAAATGAGTTAACTGAGTGAACTTAACTTTATGAATTAAAAAGATTTTGCATATGAAATGTTTTCGTAATTTTCTATTTGTTCAAAAAGATTGAGAAATAGGTTCAGTTAAACATATACAATTTACCGATAACTATATTACTAATAACTTACTAACAACCAATAACCAATAACTTACCGATAACTGTATTGTCAATATTTATATAGGGACCACATTTTTTTGCACCACATTCGCGCTTCAATATTGGAATTACATGCCGATAGCAGGGCAATAAATAAATCATCTGTAAAATACCAAACATAAGTGATTTGAATAGTTTCGAAATCATCTTTGTAATTATCTCCCAGTCAAGAAGATTATAGAAATGAGTTTATTAGAGATTTCTTTTTTAAGTTATAGATTTTTAGATGAGATCAGCTAAGCTATCGATGTTCTCAAAAAAAGAATAACATCGCCGTTATTTGCTTTAAATTATTAGTATGTAGAAGAGAATTTGACGGATTAAATTAGATTTATTTCTCTAAGCAATTTGACACCTAAAATAAGTTTTTTATTTCTAAGCAATTTAACACTTTCCATGCTAATTGCTTATAACTTTCCCTTTTTCTTCAAATCATAAAAATTAACCTCTCGGTAATGATCCTTGCAAATGAAATCATTCATATTGAATTGTACCGTAAACCCGCAATCATGCATACACCAACTATGTTGGTCATCCAAACGGCAAAACAATTTAAGATCGTTTTCATCTATTATCGGTGGCATACTGATACTGCCAAATGCCATGTGCATCTGAAAATAATGGTACTTTGCTAGGAACCAATTGTAATACTTTCATGCACTCTTTTCTTTTTTTGTTTCATTCATAATTATATCCATTTTATTACATTCCTATTTTCGGAATTAATGAAAAAATTTGTAAGCATTTAGGTAATTAGGTATAGAAACGATTAAAGTTTCTAAATCAATCTAATTAATATCATTGATTCATCGATTTCCTGATCCTTTCAATTCCATTTGTAATGTAAAAGTATTTCTGTTCTGTTAGCATTTTATTCATTTTCATTCTTTAAGACAATAATTTTTAAATGATAAAAATTAAAAAATTAATACTTCCAGAATTTGCCACAAAATAATTCAGTAGATAATGAATGATATGCTATGTGTAAAGTTACCATCGGAATACCTTAACCATCTCAAGACCAAGCAATAAATCTTCGTTACATTTGTCCTGACATATTCTATCTCTCAATTCGATCGGATCTATCATTTTTAGTAATTCCGCTCGAATGCGCTGCTCTTCCTCCTGCGCCATATTTGATTCAATTTGTGCCAGATCAAATGCTCGCTTATTCCTAACAATCTTCTGCAGTGATAACTCTAAAAATTGTTTTCATTTATTAAAAATTATTTGATTTCTGTAATAAATACGTTGATATATTTTTTAGGTGATTTTTAAATATCAAAATTTATTCCGGAAAATTGTAAAAATAAGTATGGAAATAATTTATATTGAAAATTGCATCAGTTCGAGAATTTCTTCGAATATTCTAATATTTAGAAGTTTGAAGCCAAAAAATGCACAGAGAATGAACAGCTCTTAAATGTTTGTTAATTAATAACAATGTAATTTTCTAATTTAAATCTTAAGTTTTTCGAATTCATGCTAATCAATTTGAAGTCTTAAAACTTAAAAGTTTGAAGTAGTTGACAAATTATTGCTCCCTCTCAATTTTTATTTTTAGTGTAATTATTTTACAAAGATTAAGGTAAAATAGAAGTATTTATTCAGCTCTTCACACTTCTTTTTTTGTTCCCTGTAAATTAACCTCAGAATGACTGTAAAAAATAATATCGTTTCTACATTAATAAAAAATTACAAATTCAATATTTATTTTTTGATTCTAGCAAAGTAAAATTTTTCAAGATCAATGAAGAGTATAATCGTGCAGAAAAGAATTGGAAGTGTGTAGATCCTAGTGATTACTCATTCTAATCATTATTCAGCAGATAGTGCTGACTTTCTGCTTTCGTCATTTATCAAAAAGAAATAATAATTCGTTAAAATTTACTAGCTGAAATTTTATTTCATTTCAGTTAAATTGAATTTGAGCTGATTTGATGGAAATGATATAATTCCTGCCTTTTGTATATATTTCAGAAGTGATGAAATGTATGCAAAGAGCAAGAAAATACTGCATACGGCAGCGCAGGGAATTCATTTTAGCAAATAATTTTAATTTAATCGTTTTTCCAATATTCAGTGACATTCATGCTGTACCATTTTCGTTTTCTTTTTCCAAAATCAATTGAATTAAATTGATAAGAATCATTATTACCTAAAAATGGCATTTTAAAAATTATAAATTAAATTTCACAATGCACACTTGAGGAAGAAGATCGATCTGGAACATAAGTAAAGATTACTCGGGTATAAAGAAAATTGCAGAGAGGTTAATAGAAATAATCTATATTGATGTTGGAGATCTAAATTTGTATTTAAATACCAAGTTATGATTTTTTAGATTAAAATTACATGTAGGAAAGATTTTTGATAAAGAGATAAGCTGGCTTTATGCTTTATTTAAATTTAACATTTAAAATTTTTATTATTTTCGATTTTAATTCACATGTTTTTTCATCATTTTTTTCTATAAATTATATTATATGAAAGTTCGATTTAATTCTTAATGTTATAGATTATTGAATGTTGCGTGCATACGTTTCACGTTTTTTACACTTATTTAAAACACAACTGATGGTAAAATTATAAGAATTAATTGCGGTCTACAAAAGAGACTTTACTTTAAGGTAATGACAACGCTATGAGAGACATAAATGAGATATTCTTTATATTTTATCTTTATGGAATTCAATCCACAAATTGTATTATTTCATTTCAAATAAAACCTATTTTAGTATTTATTTGGTAATTTTCTGCGAGAATCAGAAAATTGATAGGAATACGAAAATTAAAATTGGTAAAATAAGATGGAATTACAAATATTGAAAATTTTCGAAAGATTTAAATTTTTCATAAGGAAAAATGTTGAATTTTTTTTGTAAGAAATTCAAGCTATTTCTGAATGAATCTGATCTTTCACTATTCTAATTCATTATTTATAGGTAACTGTTAAAATTTACATCAAGAACGTCTCTTTTTCCATGAATTAGAATTACAGAAGTCAAATGTTTTCCTTAACATAACGAATGTTAAAATTTTTGGACGCTTTCTGATAAGAGCAATATGTTTAAAAAGCAATTAAAAACAAAGTTTAAAGTGAAAAATTCAGTCATCTTTAGTGATTCATAAGACAAAACACAGTTTCTTGTCTTCCTGCCAATGACTTTCTTCTCTGTCATCTATTTTGTTGCGTAACCTCCGCTCAATAATTTAAAAGACTTTTTATGGTAAACTAAAGGGAAAATAAGAGAAATGAAAGGAAATGGAAATCAATAAAATGAATTCAATATATTTTTTATGGACATGTGGTATTGAATGTGTGATAACAAAATTTATGACAAAATAGGACTATAAAAGGCAAGAAAGAGAAATGTTAAATGACTGGCGGGAAGAAGAAAATGATTTTTGTTTTCTAAAATATTATCTTTACAAGATGCATTGTTGGCTTTTAATAACCCAAAGCAGCATTTTTCGGCAGTTCTGTTCCATTTCTATCAATTCATTCTATTTTCAGCAAGAAAAGAAATTTCGATTCATTTACACTTATCATATTTTCATATAAATAATCCTATTACGAAATGAATCAAACATTCTAATAATTCCCGTCAAAATTCATTTCGCAAGAAAATTTAATTCAGTTTTAACCATTCATGTTAAAAACATAAAATTAATATTTCAAAACTTTATCATACTCAAAGTTTCACCTTATGTTTCAAGATACTTTATCAAACTTCTTTGTTTACTTAACATAGCGTGAGGAAGGAGAATGAAAGAATCACTTTTCTTTTCTCACTTCTCCTGCTTACTTTTAAATTTAAGCTCAAAAATTTATTTTCACAACAGGGAAAAAAGCGGGTAAATAGCAGAAAAGAAATGATAATTAGAAATTTGAGAATATCAGGATTACAACTTTTCACAATATATTATTTTGCTATGAAACAAATCAAAATTGTTATTAAAACTAAAATTTATAATTTTAATCTATACTTCATGATATTTTCATATTTTATCGAAGGAAAAAAGAAAAAAAAGGAGGAAAGAAACAACAACAATGATTAAATGAGTGTTAAGTTTGTTAAAATTAGAATCGCTTCGTGTTTTCCATTTTGCGCTCACTTCCGCTTGCATACAAACACACAGCACACATTTTGGCTTCCAAATATATTTTCGGTTGCTGTGGAAAGTTTTAAACTCGATACTATCGGGTAAAATTTTCGAATAGATTATTTTCGAGCTCAGAAACATGAAAATTTTTTCTCTCCGAGCAAAAAAAGTGTGATTCGCTCAATTTCCAAAAGCACCGTTGAAAATAATATGAATAAAGTTGAAGTGAACTTCAACACTTACTATGAAAGATAATGAATCATAATTAAGAAGAAACTAATAATTAATAATGATTTTATGTAAAGCTTGAAGGAAATTTTGAAAATTTTTAACTTCTAATTATGTAATTGGAACAAGAATTGAGGGATGCAATATTTTTTCATTGATAGTTCTACTTTTTCCGAAATTTTTAATTCATCATATATTAATATTTGATATCTTCCAAGAGTGTAATTAAATAATAATCAATTTAGAATAGTTGAAAATAAGTCTCAAATTTTGATAACATTTTCAATTATGCAGGCGAATTAAACCCTATGTGAAAGCTATAGTATCGCTGTAATTTATCAATTGTTATAACAAAGAATTTAAGCATATACTTTTTGACACTATCAGAAAAAAGAATAAATTGATAGCTCGAATCAAATTTCGAAAACTACTCGATTTAACTTTGTCTGATTGAGTATAAAAAACCCATCTCACTGATTTCAATTCAACAAAAATAATAAATGCACCTATTTTCTTCTCTTCTTCGTTTGATGCACTCAATCTTGCTAACTAAATTAAACAATCTCTCAGTTCGCCATTTTTGATTTTCAATCAATTTTACAGCTAAAATTTGTTTTGCTCATTTTGCGTCATTGAAAATGAAAAGTTTCATTTTTATTGAATACAAATAATTGCCATTGCTAAAATTTTGCAGTTTGCAGCACTGGCTAATAAACAACAGGAAATTCATCTTAATTAAATTAAACTATTAAATTAAAGTTGAAATTTGAGGGATTGGTCAATTTTATTCTCTTAAACGATTCATTTCCACATTTGCAGCAACGGCGGTGGTCGAAGCGGCGCATTTTTGGCGTTGGATGCAAATTTAGAGCTCTTGAAGAGGACAGGGCAAATTGATGTGTATGAGTATGGCAAAATACTGATTAATGCTCGACCTCATCTGATTGATTCCGTGGATCAATACCAATTCATCTATGAAGCCCTCGCTGAGGTTGTCCAACTTAAGTGAATTTCAATTTTTTTTAAGTCTGAATTTATATTTTAAATGCTAATTATAGCTAATTGTTTTTAAGTTAAGCCAGTTTGCAGTGAAAAAAAACTTGAAAAGCATTTTCATTTTCAAATTTTTCTTTTCACTACAAATCGGGTGGATGATTTAAAAAAAGCCCTAATTCTTAGCTTAAAAGCAATTAGCCATGATTAGCAAGTCCGACGCTGTAAATCTTAACTTTTAGATATACCAAGTATAGCTTTCATTGTTTTAGCTTAATTGCATATCATATATGAAAAATTTTAGGCAGTGCTGTGTAATATTGAACCGATCGAAATGTCACAATTGAAAAAAAGGAGTACCATGTACAAAGCCAAGAAGAATCGTCAAGTAATGGAAGCACAGGTTGCTGATGAAGCTAAGGTAAATTAGATTTTTGAAATTTATTTTTACTTCCTAAATATGTAAGAATCATTTATGCTATTTTTCATAAAATTCAAAGAAAAATTTGAAAATTTTCTACCAAAATTTTAATTTTCTCCAAAGATAAAACTGTTCTACAGTTACTGGTAATGTTGACGCCTACATTGAGGATAGGTGATTGTGCTGGTGGTCATCGGTTAGAGAATCGTGGTAAAAACAGGGATGTCATGGTGGTGCCACGTAAGTTCTTTCATCTACGAGTCATCATCTATTTTCTTTTAATTAATATCCTTAATATGGATATTTTTAAAGGTTTTTTTTCGAATTCAATATGAAATTTGTTGTTGCTATGTTAATTAAATTGCAGCTGATCACGCTCGGCCATATTTGCAAACGTTACACGGTGAAAGTAAAGATTACACTTACATCAATGCAGTTGAAGTGGACGGTTTTAAACGGAAAAATGAGTTTATCATAACAGAATGGCCAAAAAACTCAACATTGGACAGTTTTTGGACGTTGGTTTTCGATCATAGTTGCCATACCATTATTAATTTAAGTAATCGGGGGCGTTCTCGAGTAAGTTTACGCTTGTAAAATCTATCTCAAAAAGAAAAAACAATGAATAGAATATTTTAACTGATTGAAGAACAGAAAACAAATTATCACATTTCCATTTAGGATTACTTTACGTATTTTTTCTCTTAAACTGCTCATTTATCTTGCATTGCTCATTGCAATTTCTATCAAATTCCAATCCTATAAATTTGTTATTTTAGGCATATCCAACATTTCTACATAGCAAAGGAAAACATACTTACGGACCTTTCATTGTAGAAATTTTAAATCATCATCAGTATCCATCGATGACCTCCCATATGGTCAAAATTATGAAAAAAGTTTGTATTTTTGAAACATTTCGAGAAGTAACAAAAGTATTTTTGATAATGATTGCAGTAGAAATTGCATATGCAAATATTTTTGAAATTAATCCGGAAAATGAACATTTTGTTTCTTGAAAAAAAAATCAATACACACCAACTTGCTTTTTTGTAACTTAACCCTAAAAAAGAAATATGATTTTTCATTGAAAAATGTCATTTATTCATTTATATGCTAATGATTTTTCAGCAGATTACATTTTATATATCTGTTTAGTATAATTTTTTGTGTGTTCAAGTTTTTGCCGACTTTTTTTTGAGCTTGTTTTTAAGCAGATTTTTTTTCGAAATTTTTACTTTTTAAAGTACAATTTTCAACGGAATACACGAGTTTTTGATTTCTCCTACAATATCACCATTATATATCGTATAAAGTGGTAATGGAATGCTGTGATTTTTAACAGCTCCCAAAAGCATACATCTTATCGAGGAAGTAAAAAGCTTTTTTATATTACATAAAACTGTTGAAAATTTTTTGTGATTTTTTTATCTGCAAATTAGCAAAAAATAGGAAATTTTATGAAGCTATCAATTTCTGCTAAAAATTAAGATAGGATATGCATATTTTAAAAAATGTACTACGTCATTTATGAACGTGGATAACCCACATCACGTTTTGTTTTTTTATCAATCAAATGTGTGCATCATCTCCTTTCCTATTTTATTTGCTACGAGTTTTATCAAAGTTGAATATTTCAATATTATCCAAATTAAAAGAAAGAATGAAAGAATTTATTTCATTCACGTTTGATTAACCAATCAAAAGAGATGAGCAGTCAAAGATTTTATTAATTGGAAAAATTATGCTATGAAGATGAAAATGATCTTTAATTTTAAAAATGGTATACTTTTGGTTTTTTGGGAAACTTTTCAAACGCGCTGATGGGCTGACATATGCTGACATTAAAATATTTTGAACTGAAACATGAAAATTCTATGAGATGATTTAAATATTTTATGTTTCGAAGACTTTATAAGTGGCTAATACTTAATTAGAGTTGAAAAGTAGAAGAGTCAGTCAGACAAATTCTTTCATGTTACCGATTGTCTACTTCTATCTATCAAATTGGATCATTCAATTTTGAATTTTAGATGACACAAAATAAGCATTCGAATTATTCTAGATTTTAAGCAACTGAAATATGAATAACTCTATAGCTATAGCGCATTGGAAGATTATTATCAGTGCTGTTAATGGTTTTAATTATTTATAGCTTAAATACGCAATTCATGTTGAGCATAAGTTGTAGCAAAGAATGAAATGCTATTAAATATTTTCCAATAAAAAGTCCATTATAATTTTTAATTAAGTTTGGCAATTGGATCTTTCAATACTTTTGAAGTTGCTATATGCTACAATTTCCTTGGCTTGAGGATAAGCTAGCAGTTTTGGCAGCCTGAATAAAATCCACTAGCTCAAGTTGTGGATGAATATTTTAATTTCATAAAATCGACATTTGTAATCTTTGAATAGGATCAATTTACTATTTACAAAGAATACTAACATAATTTCGGAAATTAATCGTAGGCAATATGAGGAACATGACGGAAGTTAGTGAATTCGAGAAATAAACAAATCAATAATTAATTACTAAATAAAAAGAATTGAGCTCATTTGACTCGGATAGATCAATTAATGCAATCATATAAATAAGTTATTAAAAGTTTTTCTTCCTTAATGAACTGCTTGGTATTTTCACTAAATATATTTAGTTCTGTTTTATTTTCCTTTGTTTCATTTTTTCAACTGAAAGTTTTCCTTGTTTTTTGAAACTTTTCTTAAGTAGAAATTTACAAAAACTTCAGTCGATATTCAAATTTTGAAAGCAAAGAAAAAAGAGTAAGGAAAAATGGTGCTGGCTGTTGAGAAATGAAACATCTAAGATGCTATTATTATGAGATTGAGATGAAACAATTTGGCTCAGCCATCTTTTCATACTATTTTATTTTCTCAGCGATATGTTCGCCTTATTATGAAATTAGGCTCAACAAAAAAAACAAGATTTTATTGAAGATAAGTAGAATTCTTCAAACTTTTTATACAAATTAATTGGTCTTTCAAATACAGCTTTCATTTCATCATATTAATCAAATAGATTATGCTTAACTTAGTGAAATTGTCTTTTTTTGATATCCTCAACTTAATTTAGGATCGGGATTAATCTTTTATAATTGCGCTTTTGGATTTATACCACCCTGGAATCAAGTAATTTCTGTATACTGAGGAGCATAATTTAATGTAGGCAAACAACTTTAAAGCAATTTTTTTCTCGAATTATTCGTATCATTCTTAATTATCCTCATAACCTAACCACTCCTAATTTTTTATCCATTTTTCATCCGGTAATTCTGTTTTCTGATATGGTACTTATGCGAAACTTTAATATTTTCTGTTCCACATTTCAATTCCTGTAGAATGTTTTATTGAAATTCCTCCAGAAAAAGAAACACAAGGATAAGAAAATTAGCATTTATCGAAAAAAATTAAAAACACAAAATTAAATAAGGTATTATTATCACACTAAATAAAAACATTTTTGTCTTCTCCTTAAAAAAAAGGCAAAGACTGAAAATGAATGAATGATTTCGTTTTTCAAAATGAGATCGTTTATGTTTTGCTAATTTATTTACCAATCATTGAATCAGTAATCTTGAGTACTCAGTCCTTTTTCTTGGACATTTAAGAAATTTGTCATTTTGTTGTTATTTTTTATTTTTTTGAAATTTTGTCATTTTATTTAATCATATATTTGCAGTTATTTATGATCTCAGAAATAATGGCAAATGGTATCAATCATCATCATCAGCAGCAGATGGAAGCCGAAGTTAGGATATGTTGTGTTATACAGGTAAAGTTTTAGGACATGTTGTGTTATACAGGTAAAGTTTTACTCAAAGCAGGATTATTTTTTGAGATCTGATTTATCTGGAACTGATATCTACTCCTTTAAAAGTTCCTGGGCTGTAAAAAATGAACTTATACATTTAATTAATCAAATTAGCAATTTCCAACATCATCTATGCAAAGCCTTGGTTCAAAAGGAAATGAAAATGAATCAGCGTAGGATCTTAGATTTGATTTGATTGAAATTTTTTAAATTCAGCATTTTTTGATTTTATTTCAAAGTTTAGGCAATGAAATGAATCAGTTCTTGATTTCAAAATTTTTGAAATATTTCCTAATTATCATATTTAGAAAGTCTTTAGATTCGAATGTGGCCAATTGAAAATAAAGTACCATTATCAACATCTGGTCTCATTGATATGATAAAAATGGCACGTGGCTGGCGGAAACGTGCTCCGGAACGGCCGGAAACAAAACCCACAATTGTTATGTCGCAGTAAGTATGCATTCACCGTCCTACGTCAATTTTTAATAATTTCACATTTACTAGGAAGGAATTGTTGGTATTTTTCTGAAAATAAAAACAAATGTTTGGAAATCATTTTTGTTGAGGGAGTTTTCGAGTTTGTTAATACTAAAACTAAATCAAACTTTGGTTTAAAGTAATATCATCCAATTCATAATCTTGGTCTTAATTTTAGATAAATTTCGAGTTCACTGAGTGGAATTAAAGTTCATGCTACTTTTGAAATTTCGTTAATTAAAACAGACCAATCGAATAGTGCTTCAAGTACATGTAATAAATTGTCTTCGTAAAATGAGTGGGCAGAAGTTTTACTGCAAGATTTTTTGGAATTATCTACTCAGTAGGCTTTACTTTTTGAAAGAAAAAACTTTTTTGAAAAATTTTTTCTCTTTTTTAGTAATGGTGTAAATCGATGTGGCATTTATATAGCAGCCAATGTTTGCATCGATCAGATGGATATGGATCATGAAGTTGATGTCTTTCATGCTGTCAAATTAATTCGAATAAATAGGCCACAACTTGTTGACAGAGTTAGTTCGCGAATTTTTATTGTGCAAAGTTGTTTTTAATTATGATCACAGAAATAGGAAATTAGGATTTTAATAATTAAAAAAACTTGTAGCAACTTTCTGATAAAGTTTAATAATTAAAAAAGTTCACATTTAATTTCTAAATTATAAAAAGCACAAATGAAAATTTTAATTCCGAGAAATATTCTTGATGAAATTCAGCGAATGTAATTTTCAATAATTTAGGATGAGTACAAATATTTGTATGATTTGATGCTGCACTGGTACATGACCAATCCGGAGTATCGTATTTTTGACCAGAAGGAGGAATCACGTGATTCGACGGCACAAAATAGTTCGTTCCGTAATTTGATACGCTCCAGTAATTCGATAGCTTTGAGTGCTGCTGATCATATAAGTTGATGATTGATTGAATTTTAGGGTGGTAATGATAAGATGATTTTGGTCATCTCATTCAATTGCTCTGCAATTTCGAATGGAACTCCGAAAAACTGCAAAAATTAAGGATACAGAAGAAATGGATATGCAAAAAGGAAATGAAAAGGAAGAGGATGAAGAAAGTAAGAAGAGAAAAGTGAGCGCTTTTCAACTTTTATCTTGTTAATCCGCACAAAATATCAATCACCAATTATTTGTCTCCTTTAGATTTCAGGTTTTTCGGGACAATCTTCTAGTAAAAATTCGGGAGAATTATATAAATTATTGCTGGAATAGTATGAAATTTATGTTTCTGCCAGTTTTCAAATGAAGAGAATGATACAAATGAACTTTATATAAAAAACTGAATAAAATTTTTTTAATGAATCATCCGAATAATTTATTATAACTCAAAAACACTTATATTCTCTTTTTGATTCATCAAATATTATTCTGTATCAATTGTACAATTTTTTCAGCAACCCAAAAACCTCATTAAAATCGGGTCATTTTGTTTTTAAGTTCTAGCGTAATTTATTTCAAGTTACATGTTTTAATATTTGTCTTCATAAATATTTTCTGAACTGTATTTTCTCTTATTAATATTGAATTATTATGGAAAACAGGAGTGAACTTTTTACGTGTAATTTAAAAAATTGTGTGAACTTTGAATTGTCTTATAAAATTTTTCGGAAGCTTTTTGAGAGTGCTTTTTTTGCATGACAACAAATTCAACTACGTTTCATTCAATTGATGCTCAAATGTTTTATTTGAAACTTTAATTGCTCAAAAGAACTTGATTATTCTTTTTGCTAATCTAATTTCAATTCTACGCCTTTCTTACAAACCATGACTAGGAACTTTCTCTCTCTTCCTTGGTTACTTGAAAAATTGAAGTATTTTTTTCGTTTCAATCTACTTTTATCATTGATTTCTAAAATTTCTGTCTCGTGAAGACTTTACCGCAATTTAATTCCACTGAAGCCCGAAGATTGAAATGAGAGGGACGAATTCCAACAGTAAAGAAAATAGAAATTGATGTAAGTGATACTGCAGAAGTAACTTATAAATCTGATATTTGCATGCCAATCGAAAAAAGAAATTTGATTACATCCAGAAAAGTTATTCATAACAAGATCAAGAAGATAAACTCTTTTCCTCGAATTTCTTTTCTGTAAGAGTTTCGTTGGCAAGATCAAATCCTATTATCCAAATATCCGCAGATTAAAATATTCAACAACCAAAATACCTCATTTCTGCCTTTAAATTCTTCTACTTTTTTCGATCCTTCCAAGTTGATCGATTTATGTGTTAGCTATTTAAAATAACTAGGAAATTAGCTGTTATTTGGTCGGAAATTT